AGTGACAACCGAATCCAGTCAAAGGATGCCTCTCAGATACTCATGCTCACAGTCAGGACATCCTATGCTCATCGCCCTCCACCCCCAGCAATAAAAAGCCATTTCTGCACCTCCTGTGTGGTCCTGCATTCCTTCCATTGGGATTTCAGGGAAGGCAAGGTATGGGCAATCAGGGCAGCGGAGACCTGGATCCAAAGCTGGAAGGAAATTTTGGGATTATCCAGCCCCACTTCCGTGTCTTACGAATGGGACCACTGAGGCCCAGGATGGGCAAGCAGGTGACCTGAGGTCACATAGAGATGGCCTCGCTCTGCTTCTGCTACAACACCGCCATGATGGAGCGCTGCCTTCGCCAGCACACCTGACCTCATGACCTCCTCACAGCACCCTTCTGTTCTTGTCTCCATTTTACAGATTAGGAAACTGAGGCTCATAAAGGACAAGTGACACATCTAGGTTACAGGGTGGCAACTGGCAGGACTAGGATTTAAGCCCATGGTTATGGGATCCCTTGCTCAGAGAGGTGACGTCCCATCTCCCAGTACTCAGACACCTCTCCCCAGCGCCCAGCAGGTCTCCATGTCCTGGCCTTGATCTGATGAGGTTCCTCTTGTGGCCCTTCTGTCTCCTCAGTGTGCAAGCCCTCAGTTTCCCCTTTGCCTTGAATGTGGTGCACAGCACCCCTTATTCACAGCTGCATCACCGCTGCAGAGGACAGACCCAAGCTATCACCTCAGGGTCCCCGAGCCTCTCCTTTCCAGGAGGCCATCTGACTTTCCTGCCAAGAGGCCCAGGGAATTTTCTTCCATGTTGCCAAGGAGTCATCTCAGTGCTGTGTGCAATTCTGTGAGCGAAGAACCACTGTCGTCTTCATGGGAGACTTGGGTTAAAAGAGGCCAGGGTCAAACAGAGGCCTGCACCAGCTGCTGCTTCACTCAAGAACCTTCTGTCTAAAGGATGCCTCACAAGGTCAAGTCATCTCAGGAGGCCCTTGAGCCCCTGGGGCAGCTGGGAGGCCTTGGACCAGCTCTCCCAAGAGACCTCAGTTCAGGCTATGCCGGGGCTTCTAACACAGCGTGAGGTGAGAGGTTGGACAGAGCTGAGCATGACCTGGCCTCTGCTGTTGCCAGCTGTGTGATCTCAGCCAACTTACTTAACCTCTCAGAACCACAGTCATCAAACCTGCCAATGGAGTTAACAGTAAAACCTCCCTCGTTGTGTTGTGAGAATGAAATGAGTCAATGAGTGGAAAGTGCTTTACCAGAGTCTGACCCTGGTGAGCACAAGATGAATGTCAGCCTCGACACACTGGAATTGCTGCCAAACAGTGTTGAGAAAGCACATATGAAGTCTTTATACACTGTATCTCATTAGATTCTGATTTCTACTGAGTGATTCAGTGAATGGTTCCTGGAGGAGGTGTGGCAACTGAGTCTCAGAGAGGGAAAGTAACTTCTCCAGGGCTACACAGCCAGTCAGAGGCAAAGCTAGATTTCAGGTGAAGTCAGTCTCTTCCAGAGCTGGTTCTTCCCATGCTGGACATAGCAAAGGGATGAGCACCTTCCTCTCTGTCTATATTTTGTGACAATCCCAACTCCCACAACAGTGCACAAGGAGGTCTCACAATTCAGAACTTCTCTTGAGCAGTAGCCCACTCGGGTCAGTGCTAAGACTTTGTCCAGGCTGTTCCATCCACCTGGTCATCATTCCTTCTCTCCCTCCAGCTTCTCAATCCCCCTCAGCCCTAAGAATCTGCTCAGGAGCTGTCTCCTGGTAAGTGGGGACCACTCCTTAATGTTTCTCCAACAAAAAGACCATTTGTTCCAGCTGGTAGGTCTACCAAGATACCTTGTTATCATTGTCCCATACAGACAGAGGGTTCAGGAAGTGTCTACCTGTTTTTAATAATCATTTTTTCCCAATTTTTGGTGAGAAGTAATTGACATTCATCACTGTATAAGTTGGAAGCAACAGTTTGATTTCTGCATATTATGAAATGATTATGACAATAGGTTAAGCTAACATTCATCTCCTCATATAGACACAATAAAAAATAGCGAAAAAGAAAAACCCGTTTTCCTTGTGATGAGAACTCTTTAAGATTTGTTCTCTTATCAATGTTCCTATATATCACACATCACTGCTATCTCTAGTCACCATGTTGTACGTTACATCCCCAGTACTCATTTGTTTAGAACCTAAAATATGAGGAAGATTAGCAATAGATGCCTACATTAAGAAGCAAGAAAAACCCAAATAAACAACCTACCTCTATACCTTAAGGGACGAGAAAAAGAAGAATAAACTAAACCCAAAGTTACCACTGAAAGAATACAATAAAGATTACAGCAGGAAAATTTGAAATAAAGAAGACAAAATAATAGAAAATATTAACCAAATTTTAAAAAACTAGTATTTGTCCTTTGAAAATGTAAAAGAAATGAAAAAACAGTTAGCTAGATCTCAAGACTTGCAAAGGGGCTTTAGGTCTTCACATGTCTGCTTTGTCCTCAGGACAGTATTTATATACAAACATTTGGGCAAAGTTCACTAGAAAAAGAAGCTATCCAAAGGGGATGAGACAACGTATTGTTATAGTGCCTTGATCCAAGTGTGCCTGAAGTCCTCTTTGCCACAAAATTTCCAGTTCAAATACATGTCTCGCTTCCTATTTTTTATTTTTATTGGAGCCAGTGTGAGTCAGGTCCTGCCATTCAAACCCACAGTAAATGCTGATAACGTATTTGTAGACTTATGTCTTCCTCCTCCATTCTGATGTCTACCTGAGGGTCACAGCCACATTGGAAACATAATAGATGTCAAAGGCACAGGAGACCTTAGATTCATCATTTCCACCTCTTTCCTTAAAAGTCTAGGGAGACTGTGGCCCTGAGGAGGAGAGGGACTCATGTCTGGCCACATGTGACTAGAACCCCACTTATTTTCCTCCTTCTATTCACCTGTTAGGTTTCTTGAGATTATCTACTTGGACAATAGTGTTAGTAGCTTAGGCGTGTCTGACTTTTTGCAACCTCATGGACTGTAGCCCACCAGGCTCCTTGGTCCGTGGGATTTCCCAAGCAAAAATTACTGGAGAATTTGCCATTCCCTCCTCCAGGGGATCTTCCCAGGGGATGAACCTGGGTCTCCTGCACTGCAGGCAGATTCTTTGCCATCTGAGCTACCAGGGAAGCCCTTTTACAAAAAAGATTAAACAGCATTATCTAATAGCTTTGCTTAAACTATAGACACCTGAGCCCCTTCCTAGATACTTAGTGTCAGGGGTTCCTGGAGAGTCTGGTTCTGGAGTGGCTGGCCAGAAATGGAAACAAGTGGACTAGATGGACCAAAGGTACTTTCTAGGGTACTTTGAGTTCTAAGAGCTGTACCCCCATGCCGTCCTCTAGAACCCCAACTTTGTCTAGACACTACCCACAAAACCCTATGTCTTACCCTGTTTCATTTCAATGGGAACCAGGCAGGGGGTGTTACTGCCCTCATATCTTGGCTGAGGTATGTGAGCTCAGAAGGGGAGGATGACTTGCTCAAAGTCAAACAGATGGGAAGGGGCAGAGATGGACAGTGCTCCCAGTTCTGCATCTTCTCCCATCAAGATGGACTGTTCCAGTTCACAGCCTCTGGAAGCAACAGTGAGTCACAGTCACTGACCCCAGTCCAGCACCCAAGTGGGGCAGGCAAATGGCTGGCCCAGGGCTTGGCATTGTGTGGCCACTTTCACCATTGGTGCTCACGACAGCCCACTAAGGAAGTAGGGAAAACTCCATTTTCCACTTGAGGAAACTCAAGTCAGGTGAAAGGAGGTGACTTGCCCAGATGTCACAAGGAAAGGAACCCAAGATTTGAGTCCCCAGGAAGATCAGATCACATTGGGACCAGCTGGGGGGCAGCAAGGTCCTTAGGCTTGAATATCATGTTTATTCCTTGACCTCTGCTGTCTGAGTTGGTTGTTATGTATGGTGCATTGGGCTCCTGTCAACCTGGAACACCTCGTCCAGGATACAAAGATGGATGCCCAGTTGGCATTATGGTGGAAGAACCATGAGAGAGCTCCAGGTGATCCAGGGTCAATTTCCTCCGGTTCTGGGCTGAGAGAGGATAAACACCACCACCCACTCCCCACCGCAACACACACACACACAGTGGTCTGTGGAGAAGCAGAAGCAAAGTTTGGCTTCTTTTCCTTCTCCAGTAGCAGGCTGAGCCCTGATCTCAGTCACAGACAGAGTCCTGACCCTTAATCACACACTCAGACTAAACTTGATTCTTCTCCCTGACCGAGCCCAGAACCCAGTCAGACATAGCTTCCACTCCAGTTGTTGACTCAGCTCTGACACTGGTTACATCTCAGGCTGATCCCTGATCCTGATCATATGCTGAGGCCTGAACCCTGGCTCCTCTGGGCCCTGATCACATTGGCCTGATCAGTCTTTTCACATTGGCCATTTTTGCTAAGGTGAGGGGGTGGGATGGTGAAGACATGAGGAGGGGTAAGTGCCAGGTGCCAGAGAAAGAGCCCAAACCACAGCTGCTAGTCCCTCCCTGAGCCTCAGAGTTTGCAGGGTTTATGTGGAAGCATTCCTGCAGCTGTGCCTGGTGAACGCAGGAGCCAGTAAGGGCCCCAGGGTGTCCATACCTCACGCCGGGGTCTCCTTCCAGATTGGTTCCTGGGGACCTGACTGAATCTCAGACCCGTCTCCCTCTGGACAGTCGGTGTTGCCACCATCCCCAGGAGGGACCACTGAGCCCAGTCAAAGGACACCTCTCAGATACTTGTGTTCACAGTCAGGACATCCTATGTTCGTCACCCTCCACCCCCAACAATAAAAAGCCATTTCTGCACCTGCTGTGGCCCGTTGCATTCCTTCCACTGGGCTTTCAGGAAAGGCAAGGTATGGGCAATCAGGGCATGAGAGACCTGGATCTGTAGCTGGAAGGAAATTTTGGAATTATGTAGCCTCACTTCCGTGTCTTAAAAATAGGAACACTGAGGCCCAGGATGGGCAAGCAGGTGACCTGAGGTCACATAGAGACAGCCTCACTCTGCTTCTGCTGCACCACCGCCATGTTGGAGGGCTGCCTTCACCAGCACACCTGACCTCATGACCTCCTCATAGGACCCTTTTGCAGGAGACACCGATCTTGTCCCCACTGGACAGATGAGGAAACTGAGGCTCATAAGGACAAGTGATATACTGAGGTTACAGGGTAACAACTGGCAGAACTAGGTTTTAAACCCACAGGTATGGGGTCCCTTGCTCTGAGACGTCCCATCTCCCAGTACTCATACACCTCTCCCCAGCCCCGAGCCTGTCCCTCTGTCCTGTCCTTGCTCTCTCCTGCACAGGACTGATGAGGTTTCTCTCATGGCCCTTCTCAACATGCAAGCCCTCAGTTTCCCCTTTGCCCTGGAGTCTGGAGCACAGAGCCCTTTACTCACAGCCGTGTCACCTCTGCAGAGGACAGACCCAGGCTATCACCTCAGGGACCCCGGACCTCTCCTGTCCAGGAGGCCAATCTGACTTTCCTGCCAAGAGGCCCAGAGAACATTTGCCCATCTTGCCATGAGCCATCTCACTGCTGTGTGCAATTCTGTGAGGTATTCTTACTGTCGTCCTCATGGGAGACTAGGGGTAAGACAGGCCAGGGTCACCGAGAGGCCCGAACCAGCACTGCTTCACTCAAGGGCCTTCTGTCTGAAGGATGCCTGACAAGGTCAAGTTGCCACAGGGGGCCCTTGAGCCCCCGGGGCAGCTGGAGGAGACCTTGGAGCAGCTCTCCTAAGAGACACCAGTTCAGGCTGTGCCGGGGCTCCTGACACACGTGAGGTGAGAGGTTGGACAGAGCTGAGCATGACCTGGCCTCTGCTGTTGCCAACTGTGTGATCTCAGCCAACTTACTTAACCTCTCAGAACCACAGTCTTCAAGCCTGCCCAGTGGAGTTAACAGTAAAACCTTCCTCATTGTGTTGACATGAGAATTAAATGAGTCAGTGAGTGGAAAGTGCTTTACCAGAGCCTAACACTGGTGAGCACAAGATGAATGTCAGCCTCTATACACTGGAATTACTGTCAAACGGTGTTGAGAAATTCTGTATTAAATCTTTATACGCTGTATCTCACTCAATTCTGATTTCTACTGAGTGATGCAGTGACTGGTTCTTGGAGGAGGTGTGGCAACTGAGTCTCAGAGAGGTGAAGTGACTTCTCCTGGACCACACAGCTGTCAAAGGCAAAGGCATAGCAAAAGGATGAGAGTTTTCCTCTCTGTCTATATTTTGTGACAATCCCAACTCCCACAACAGCACACAAGGAGGTCTCACAATTCAGGACTTCTCTTGAGCAGTGGCCCACTTGGGTCAGTGCTGAGCCTTTGTCCAGGCTGTTCCACCAACTGGTCATCATTTCTTCCCTCCCTCCAGCTTCTCAATCCCCCTCAGCCCTAAGACTCTTCTCAGCACCTGTCTCCTGGTAAGTGGGGGCCATTCCTCAATATTGCCCCAACAATGAGACCATGTTTTCCAACTGGTAGCTCTACCCAAGCTCTCTTGTCATCATTGTCCCATACAGACAGAGGGTTCAGGAAGTTTCAGCTCTCATAAAAACAGTTTACACTTTTTTTAGTAATCTTTTCCCCATTTTTTGGTGAGAAAAACTGACATTCAACACTGTATAAGTTGAAGACAACAGTTTGATTTCTGTGCAATAGGTTAAGCTAATATTCAAGTTCTCAAATGGATACAATAAAAAAGAACAACAGTTTTTCCTTGTGATGAGAACTCTTAGAATTTGCTCTCTTAACAAACTTTCTATATATCATACATCACTGCTAGCTATAGTTACCATGTTGTACATAGTATCCCTAGTGCTAAAATGTGAGGAAGAATAGAAATCAATACCTACATAAAGAAGCAAGAAAAATCCAAATAAATGACCTACCAATGTACCTTAAAGGATTAGAAAAAGACAAATAACTAAGACTTAAGTAACCACTGAAGGAGTACAATAAAGATTACAGCAGGAATAAATTAAATAAGAAGAGAAAAATAATTGAAAATATTAACCAAACTAATATTGGTGCTTTAAAAGAAATTGAAAAATTGGTAAAAGAAATTGAAAAATCCTGGGCTAGATCTCATGACTCACAAGGGGGCTTTAGGTCTTCACATGTTGCCCGGGTCTGCTTTGTCCTCAAGATAGTATTTATATACAAATATTTTGGCAAAGTTCACTAGAAAAAAAAGCTGTACAAAGGGGATGAGACAAAATGTTGTTATAGTGCCTTGGTCTAAGTGTGCCTGAAATCCTCCTTGCCACAAAAATTTCAGTTCAAATACATGTCTCGCTTCCTATTTTTTATCTTTCTTGAAGCCAGGGTGAGTCAGCTCCTGCCATTCAATTCTACAGGAAGTCCTGGAAACATATTTGTAGACTCAAGTCTTCCTCCTCCAATCTAATGCCTACTCGAGCATCACACAACCACACTGGAAACACAACAGACATCAAAGCCACACAGAGCTTAGAGGTCATCATTTTAACCTCTTTGCTGGAAAGTCTAGGGAGACTGTGGCCTGGGCGAATGGCTTGGCACTGCGGGTGCCTGTTCAGCATTGGTGCTCACGACAACCCACTCAGTAGGCACGGAAAACCTCAATTTCCAGTTGAGGATACTGAGGGTCAGGGAAGGGAGGTGACTGGCCTAGGTTTTACAAGGATAGGAAACTAGCATTTGCACCCTCAGGGACGGTCAGGTCACATTGAGGCCAGTTGATGGGGCAGGAGAGTCCTTGGACTTGAATATGTTTATTCCTTGACGTCTGCTGTTTGAGTTGGTTGTTAGGCCTGGTGCAGTGGGCCCTGTCAACCTGGAACCTGGTCCAGGAAGCCCAGATGGGTGCCCACTTGGCAGCAGGCTTATAGCACCAGCAGAGACCTCTGGGTCACCTGTGTCCATCTCCTCCGGTCCCCCACCTGCATCTCAGTAGGAACCGGATGAACTCAGCGAGGACAAAGTACAGGCAGGGCTGGAGGCTTGAGGAGCCAGCCTTCCTCACCGTAACTGTGCTCCCACCATCAGAGCACAGAGCAGGGGGAGGGTGGCAGCCCAGGTGCCCAAGCCCGGTGCTGGGACATGGAGGACCCCATCCAGCAGGGCCTTGGATCCGTCAGCAGACCACCCTCCACACTGTCTGAGCCTGGTTTGTACACATCTGAGGTCCCTCTTCCCCTGGTTGTGGGCACAGAGCTGAGGGATCTGAGGAAAATCTTGTGGAGAGACTTGTTCTCACCTCAAGACTGCAACCCAGGGGGTGGGGAGTGATGTAATGAACTCAGACCTGGAGTTGGCCCCAGGCTTCTGCTGCCTCATTGTAAAATGGGTAAACAACATGGTACCTGGATCCCCGTGGCAAAATGGAAATTAAAAGGGTACCAAGGGGATGGTGGTCAGACCCCAGTTCTGGATTTGGGCAGACTGCTTTCTAATCCTCTCTTTCCCTGTTGCTGGCTTGAGGCCTGGACAAGGGACTTCATCTCCCTGAACCTCAGGTCCCTAGTGTGCAAAATGAGACCAAATATGGGAGTCTCCTCCCAGGTGTGCTGTGAGGACGCGGAGGGATAGTGTGTGTAGGCTCCGAATACACGGTTACAACACTGATGATGGTATTATAATTACACCTCAGGTGTCCCATGTGTACATGACCCCACTGCACAGGCTTATGGAGAGGATGAAGGGAGGAGATCAAGCATCCAATATGCTTCATGCTTAGTCAATTGAAACCAGATTTCTTATTTTGTGCACTATAAAGACCGCATGACCTAGATGGGTTCAAACTTCTGGTACCCCTGTGTCAATAAATTCTGGCTCCCTGGTGACTGGTGCATAATCTTTGGCAGGTAGAGTTCCTCAGCTACCTGTCAGGACCGTGTTAGAGATTCCAAGAAATATGATGTCAAGTACACCTCATTAATTGTAGGGGCTGGATGGAGCTTTCTGCAGAGAAGCCCTCCCAGGGGGCTCCTGGGCTTCGAGGACTGGATTGATTAGTGATGTCTGCCCCAAGTCAGGAGGGGAGAGTGGAACGACTGCATGTTCGCCAGATCAGGACCAGGTCATCTCTAATGGCCCCTCCAGCCCGTGACAGGCACATGGACACCATATGCTCACAGAGGTTGGGACTCTGGGACCTGCCTAGTACTGTGGGGTGGAGAAGGGACCCTGATCTGGGTTCCAGGCTTGGCTCAGTTTTGTGACTCTGAGTAAAATGTTCATTTTCTCCAGGCTCTCCCTTTCTTCTAACTACACAATGAATAGAGGCTTCCTGCTACACATTTGACCCCTTGGTGTTCTGAGAGGTGGTCAGGAATGTCTGGAGGCTACTTGCTACATTCCCACCAGCTGGAGCAACGTGCATAGGGGAGAAACCTCGGGCCATCCCAGCCCACACCCTTAAGCTGATACATATACCTGTGGTCACCTGTGGGGCCAGAGAGAAGGGAGGGGTGGGTTCTAATGCAGCAGAAGTGCCCGTGTCTGGGGAGAGGCCGATGTGCGCAGAACATACTTGAAAACAGAACAACGTGCTCTCCTGAGGGAAGTCTGCCATGGGCAGGGCCCCGATCTGTGTGTTATAATAACAGTCACAAGAACATGTCAGGGAGCATGTGTTCATCAGCTATGATCACAAGGCATTGTTATGGCACAGGGGACACGTCAGGGAACAAAAGAGATGAGATCCCGGACTAGTGGGGCTCCCTCTCCAGTGGATGAGGAAGAAAGCAAATCTTTAGGGACCGCGTGTCCAGATCTATACATGTTAACTGTGTACCCATCAGACCAGTTCAGTGATGTAGTTACACCCACTGTGTCCAACTTACAGGTGAGCAAACTGAGTCTCTAAGAGGGAAAGATCATAAGGCTAGTAAGTGGCAGCGCTCTGATTTAAGATGTTAGTAACAACTTGGCTGCCTTTCCTACCAGGCTGTAAATTCATTAGAGAAGGGATTGCGACTTATTTCATGGTTGAATTTTCAACTTATAGTAAAAACCCTGCACCGAGGACAGTGTTAGTGTTAGTCACTGAGTCGTGTGTGACTCTTT